TTCTTAAGCAAAAATGTTTAGAATTAAAAAAAGAATATAATCATATAATTTTTATGTTAATTACTAAAATATTTAAGACTATGGACAGCTTGGACACTTTGGACACTTGGACGTTTGGATGTTGAACATATCCAAAAAAGCTTTGGACATGCCAAAATGTACAACACTGATCTTAAATATAGCTTGTGAAAGACTACCTTATAAAATTGCATTTTCCTAGTGATTATGTACCTTTAAGTATTTAATTACTAGAATTTAGTCATCACTGACTTCTTTTGTTACAGATTATTGGGCAAATACAAGTAAACCAAGCCTCGAGTCTTTTCTGAGGTACTGTAGGAAGATGTGTCTCGATGTATCATTGAAGAAAGATAACAAGCACTGAAACTATATTGAGGATCTCAAAACTATCAATGAACACTATAGATTTAGCAAACTCTGCATATCAAAAGTGGTTAACATTTCTGAAGTAAATAATTTTTTGTTTAGAAAGAGAAGAAGGTGAAGCCAAGATATATCGTCGACTACTGTTGTAGGTTGCAACTTGCAATAGGAATAGTTGCGACTCTGTTGATGAGTATACATCCCAATTTGAATAGTATGAACACTTGTATTTCTCTTCTGGGAGGCTTCTACTAGAGATTGGTTCAGTCACTAATGGTCATAATTATTTATAGCCAATTTTTTAATTACTGAAAGAATTTTTTACTTTTGAGCTTTTAATTAAAGTTGTTCAGAATTAAATTTTGATCATCCTATCTTATAAGTATAAAGAATAATACCTTCACTGGAACTCAAAATTTCAAATTTTGTACTATCATGACTAGTTATTAACTGTCAGTTAATAACTAGTTATGGTATTAACATCTTTTAAAATTCCAAGTTCTAGTGAAGGTATCGTTCTTTACACTTATAAAATAGGATAATCAGAATTTAATTCTGAACAACTTTAATTAAAAGCTTAAAAGTAAAAAATCCTTTCAGTAATTAGAAAATTGGCTATGAATAATTATGACCGTTCATAACTGAACCTATCTCTAGCTTCCATAGCTCAATATCTGCACTCTAGCTCTGGCTTAGGTTCTAGATTTCCAGAAGATTAAGAGCAAGTATTGTGTTTGTGGCTCTATACTGGTAAATGATACATTGTCAACTACTGTTGTAAGTTGTGACTTGCAATGAGAACAGTTGTGACTCCGTCGATAAGCATACATCCCAATTTGGATAATATGAACACTTGTGTTTCTCTTCTGGGGGGCTTTTACAGCTCAATATCTGCATCTTAGGTCCTAGATTTCCAGATGACTAAGAGCGAGTGTTGTGTTTATCCATTCCTTTATCTTTCTTTCATCTATCAACTTTTCTTTTTCTATTTGTTTTGCTTTATGATTAACTAGATATCTTTTTTTTTAATCAAAATTGAGATGCTATCAGATGCTGTCAACGCATTTTGAAATAAAGAGGCTGAACTAGCACAAATCAGAATGCTAGAGGTTGTTACCTACTGCCTTATTCAAATATTTGTATTTTTATTTACTACCTATCTTTCAGTTAGCTAGTACCTGTGACATACTAGAGTTAGAGAATAGCTATCTCAAAAAAAGCGCAGAAGTGGCTAAAGAATACCAAGAAAAAGTTCTTAAAAGCCTCTCTAAGTCAAAGAAAGTCAAAAAACGAGTTTGTATTATTGTTGTAATTACGCAATCTAGTACTATTCTCCATGAACTAATATTTGCTCTTTTTGAATACCAATAATCCAAAGTCTGAAGTTAGTGCATTTCAATTCCTTGTAGTAAGGTATATACACTATTAATTCAAATTTAATAATTCTGATAAAATCACTTTAGAACTCTGTGGAGGTTAATCAGAAACAGAAGAGGATGAAGTGTGGTATATTTATCTCTTTTTTTTTTTTTAAAAAATAAAAGACCTACAAAAGATTATAAATATTAAGTGCTCTTCTACCAAAGTATCATCAAGTATCTAGAATAGTGATAACATCTCAGATTTTACTTATTCTCCCAAGTCTGATTCAATTGATTCAGATAGTACTGAAGAATATGTTAAATTTCAGCAAGAATGGCTAGTTGGTTTGAGTAGAGAGGAATAAATAATACTAACAGATGCAAGCCAAGTAATGTGTGAATATTTCATTTCAGGCTGAATTTTCTGGAAATTCTAATTTTTAACTGCTGCATTACATAGTGGATCATCGATGGTATGAATATTTTATTAATGCTTACAGAATATCATCAGACCTGCTTGGCAAAGGCAAAGTGCAATAGTATGAATAATTCAGTGGAAATCCTGTAAGTATTCAGATCTAAATTCCTTGTTAGTCATTTAATATTGTAATATGTTAACTTATCTCTTCTATTGTTATCTGCATAAACAACATATTTTTGTTTGAATATAGTGAAACTGGAGTTAGAGAGGGCTTTGACAGGAAGCTATGGGCAACAATAATAGACAACATTGGTGCTGAATTTGTTCTCTCCCTTCTCTCTGATCAAGACATTGTAAGATATCACACGATAATAAAGACAAGTTTTCTCATTTTCTTATTTTTTTTGACAACCTATTTAAACTAAAAGGATATCATTTTATCTGATTAGACTGCAAGTAAAAGTTTTAAGGACTGCAAGACAGTACACTTGCAATGGCAAAGATAGCAAGAAACTAAGAAAGAGAATTGTATTCTCGAATTCTATAAATCAATATAAATTAAATTATTATTTACTTATCAGTTCAATTTGTCATGAAAATCATTGCTGCTTGCTATACTTATATTTTTATAGATTTCAGCATCTGTCATTATGGGTGCTATGCAACCTTATTAAAGATATATTTGTTCATGAGACATTGGCATCTGTGTTGTCACTTTTTTTTGTAGATAACCTTTTGGTTTCTAGTTGGTGAGTATTGTCTATTTATTTTGTCTTACCTGTGATGCAATAATTCTGGCTAATCGATTTTTATAAATTTTGTTAGGTCTACAGAGGCACTTGACGCATCTACTCAAAAAGTGTAAATTCAATCTCTCTTTCTATAGCTGAGTGCTAGATATGAATGTTTCTACACTGATAAAAGCCAAAAAAGAATATATACTGGTCATAGAGGTAAAGTTCCCAAAATATCATGAGAAGAAGAACTTATAGAACAACAAAGTAAAACTAGGGAATAAGATGAAAGATACATTAGATAAGATGATTGATGATGGTGTAGAGAGTAGTGATGTAATTATCTGTGGGCTTCTTGTTTGAGGCAAGTAATTTTCAGATTTATTCCTGCTATATCTATCTAATTTATCTGAGCCTTCTCCAACTAGGATTCGAGTGTATCTTATACACTATTGATCTTAAATACTATGGTATATATTAAGTAATTAGTTTGGATGTATTCTATCTTCCTCATAACAATAACAATTTTGGTGTGTTCTCTTATGCCATTAAGGTCTTAATACAGGCTAAAGTCAATGTTACAGATGATTATTCTATGAGTTATAACATTCAATATATTAATTTTGTTTATATTTTTAAGAAAATTGTGATTAAGACTGCAAGCTTTGTATCGAAAGTTTGTTAACTACCAAATATGCCCAAGGTAAAGCAGCACTTGCTTGCTCTAAAACCAACAGCACAATGAGTAATAAATTATCTAAAATGCTACTTCATCAGCAAATGACCTAGCCTTCATATCACACACTAATGAAGGTACCAGTAGAGATAGTAATTGATTATGCTATCAATAATCGAAGTCTATCACTCAGGATATGGAGTCTTCGATTCTATGATCAGTTAGCAGGTACTAACAAAGTAGTTAAGCAAATAGCATTTCATGTGAATTTGCTTGCCAATATATAAAGTTAATAAAAATTGTTCAGAGGTACTCAGTTTATATAAATTTTAGTTCGTATGCAGAACTCACTTTTTCAATGTCTTCTTATTCTTTATTCCAAAATACCTAAAGAAACTATTTGTAAATGTAACTCACAAACTTCAATAAAACTGGAACTCAGGAACATATGATACATATTCCTGCATCTCATCACTTATCAGCTAAGGCTCACTCTATACCATAGAACACATTTTGCTTCCAAAAAAACAACCAAATATATGCATATTTCCTCTCTTGTTTCACATTTTCTTCTTTCCTTCACTACTCAAATATTGTCATAACAGAGGGTAATACTAAACTAGTTCAAGAAAATAGATAATTGAAAAAGAACAACAAATTAAAGTTAAAGAAACCATAAAATGATAGTAAAAAAGTAATTAAAAATTAACTAAGTCAATAAAATAAATTATTATTTTGAAAAGCTATTTTGCTAGTCCTTTTTTTTTTCTTGATTCTTGATTAGAACTTTCAAGTA